CCTCCCCCTCCCCCCCTCTCCCCCCGTGCACTCGTACGTCTGGAGTAGGGGTGGGGAGAGGTTAGGGGGAAAGGTTTTGTGGCGCCTTGCCATGCCGTGCCCTGCCGGGCCATGCCGGGGATTAAGGGTCTTGCCGGGCGTCTTGTCCTCGAAGGGAAAGGGGTTCGGGTCGGAGGTCGAGGTCCCTGTCGTGTCCTATCCGGGGGGCAGGTTGGTTGGTGGGTGGTAATGGTGGAGGTGGTGGCGGGCTGGATCGGCTGAGGTGGTTGGTATATCGAAACAATGTCGGAAAGACACACAAACTTGACGTCGTCGAAACACGACATTGCTTCCACCAGGTTTCCTACCGACTTGCGTTTTCGCCCGGTGTGGAGGAGGGGTGGTAGAGAAAGGCACACGGTAGTTCCCTCGACAGCGCGGGAGGGAAGAGAAGGGGGGTTGCTTTTGGCTGTCGCATCGGGGGTCACGAAGATGGGGACAGGGCGAGCACGAAGAAGTGGAAGCAAGAGCAAGGTTGCGGAAAGTGAGGTGCTGGCTGCACTGGAGATACCGCGGGGCCGGGGGGTCGGGGCCGCGACCAGGGTGTCGTGGCGGGGAAGAGTTAGCGCGCCGCCCCCGCCGCCGCCCCTCTGCTGATGCCGTTCTTCCACTTGTTTACCCTTCTGGGCCACGCCGCGCCACGCCGCCGCGCTTGCACCTTTTCCTCCGCCCCCTCTCGCTCTCTCTCTCTCTCCTCTACCCTTTCTCCAGTTCCCACCATCTCTCTCTCTCTCTCTCTCTCTCTCTCTCTCTCTCTCTCTCTCTCTCCCTCCCCTCCTCTCTCTATCTCTCTCCCTCCCTCTCTCCCGTCGGCTCTTGCTTTGCCTTGCGAAACGCCGCCGCCGCCCGCTCCACCCGCCGGGCCGCACCAGCACCGCCTGGATACGGTGATTGAAAGTGGGGAGGGAGGAGGTGGCGTGGCGGGGTGGGGCGGCGGCGGTGCCCGTTTGCCTTGGGATTGGCCTCGGCGCCCTCACAGATGAATGGTGCCGCCGCTGCTGCTCATCTTGAAGGAGATGGAGGCGCTCAGAGCGATGATGGTTGCGTCACTCTACAGTCCGCGCGGAAGGTGTCGGTGGACGACGCGCGCTCCTTTGCACCGGAAAGCCGAAAGTGTGTGAACGTCAAACACTTGTAGGTGTATTACCGATATTCGCACACATTCAGTTAGTATGCGAATTTTAAATGAAAATTCACACCTTCTGCACCCGTCTTTAGTGTGCGGATGGGCATTCACCCACCTACAAGTTTGCGTCATTCACACACTACTTGCGTTTCGAGTGTTATTGCCTTTCAGCGTCCGGCGATGGAGTGCCATGGGGACGCACGGAGTAGAATGTAAAGAAGAGAGAGGGGGGGGGGTCTACGCTGCTAGTCCAGAGGGTGGGACTGTGTCGTTGTCGTGTGACTGGCGACGTCGGCGCCTCCAGCACCACACCCCGCCCGTGATGACGTCACGGACCACCCATAAATCACATCAGTCGGTTGATGTGTGTGTGTGTGTGTGTGTGTGTGTGTGTTGGGGAGTAAGGCAGCACACACACACACTGCGGTGCACTAGGGCCCTGGGGCGGAGAACAGACATACTGCCGCACGTTGTCGGATAGCCCTTTATAATATGACTAGTCCCCCTATCTCCCCCCCCCCTCCCGCCGCCAC